ACGTGGAATGCTGTGCCGTGTTCTCGTGGTCGGCTCACGTGGCGCCATGCTGTCAGACCAGCCACCGCGTGGAAGGGCCACAGAGCCGGTCTCGGGCGTGTGCGCTCTGGGGCGGTGCTGTGTGGGTTCACGTGCCCGGTGTCCCTCTGAGACATAGCTTCCTTACCTGGGAGGTCAGGTGCTGGGGCCCATGTAGCCGCAGGCTGTTTGTGGGAGGATGACTATGGAGGCAAGCCTCCCGTGGCACCTGCTGCACCGGAAGCTTCACATGGTCGCTGCGGTGGTCACCGCCCCCTCGCGCTCAGGGCATGGCTGGATAGCCACAGGGCCCCTCCTGCGGAGGACTGGGAGTTAGGTCACAGGTCACACGGCCCCCAGGGCCCTCGCCTCCTCAGGGTTCGGTGGGTGTCTCGTGGACGAGACCCCAGCCTGCTGAGCACATGGTTCTTCCAGCAGGACCAGGATGCTGGTGAGCGGCTCGTTAGCCACCGTAGACAGCCAGGATGCTCCTGTCACTCAGGGCTCCCTCCCAGGACCGGGGGGCCACCGCCAGCCTGTTGCTTTGTGGTACGCCCCCGTGGCTTCCCACCTGCTACTCCCACAGAGTGGTCCCACCCTGCTCTGGCCCCAGAGGGCTGGCCATCTGACTGCCGCACAGCCGGGTGCTGGGGCTGGGAGGGCAGCCGCTCCCCAACCCCCTTTTCCCCTTCTTCTCCCTCCTCCCTTCCCTCCCCTCTGTCCCTCCCCGCCGCCCCACGTTGGTCTCCTTCTCCCGCTGCTGCCCTGCCTTCCTTGGGTCATGGTGATTCCTCTTTCTCTTCCCTCTTCCGCGTCGGGGTGGGCTTCCTGATGCTGCTGGCCCAGGGAGACTCCCCCACCTTTGGATTCCTGTGTCCTGCCCACAACTCTGTAAACAATTTCTCTACCCAGTTCTCTTCAAATTACCCAGTTTAAGTGAGCCATCTGTTTCCAGCCAGGATTGGATACAGTCTGTCAAGTCCCTTTTGTCCCTAAAAGACAGGGACATCTCCTCCCTCCCCCCTCCCTTCCTACCTCCTGCCCTTCCCTTCCCCCTCCCCTCCCCTCCCTCCTGCCCTTCATTTGATAAACATTATGTGCGCCAGGCTCTGTACCAGGTTGCCTCTTTCTTGCGGAGCTCAGGCTGAACCCAAGCGGGCAGCAGTGAAATAGGGGTGGATTGATGGGATGTGATCAATATTCTGGGAGCTTAGACCAAAACTCTTCTTACAAAAATGGTCCTGCCTTTATCTATCTATTATCCATCTATCTATTATCTATCTATCTGTCTATCTATTCATAAGTAGGCTCCATGCTGGGCGTGGAGGTCAACGTGGTGCTGGAACTCACGACCCTAAGATCAAATAGTGCTGCCTTTAAAAGTAACTTTGGGAACATTAGGGTAAAGAAAGAGCACCCTGCTTGGTGCCCAGGAGCGCCGTGTGGTGGGTGGGGGAGGGCCCGAGTGAGAGCCACTGGGCACGTGGGCACGGGGGAGCCCCATTTCACAACCTCTTGTCCGGATGGCTCTGCCTTCATGTTCCCGCTTCTGTGTTTGTTTTAAAACCTTTAGTGTGGACTTTAGAAGGAAGGGGGCATTTGGGTGAAATCTGCAGAAAAGCAGCAAGAACAGATTCTATGGACTCTGGTGGGGGCGGCCGCTGCTTGCACGCCATCCCGATGCTGTCCCCGTGTCCCCGTCTCTGGGATGCTGGGGAGGATGCTGCAGATAGCCCTCTCTCAAAACCGTGGAGACCGCAGGGCCGAAAATCTAGCACTGATACAATAACTATGATTTAATCAATCTAGGCCAACATTCACGTTGTCTCCCTTGTCCCGTAAGATCCTTTAGGGCTGCTTCTTTTTCTTTGCTCTCCCACCAGGACCCAACCCTGGGTCACGGAGTGGCACTGACTTGGGATGCTCCCAAATCTCCCCGAATCTCCTGGGAGCAGTTTCTCAGCCTTTCCGTCTCTTTGCTCACTTGACCATCTTTGAGGGACACTGGCCAGCGATGTCACAGAGCGCTCCCCACGCGGAGTTGGGGGCCCCCCGTCATTGCACCCAGGTTTTGTGTTTTGGCAGGAGCACCGTTCAGGAGACGCTCCCTCCTTCCGGGGCGTGCGTGGGTACTAACCCCTGCCATGGCTTTGGGCCATTTTGGAGGATGAGCACTTGGGTCGCTGGGCTGAGGGGCCAGCCAGCAAGATCCTCTGCTGTAAAATTACCACGGTCCCCTTTGTGGTCGGCAGGTAGTTTGTGCAGAGGTGCAGTGATACCAGGTACCGCGAAATCCCTGTTTTTCATCAAATGCGCCCCACATTAGCATCCGTGCCGGTTACCCAGATCGATGACTGTTACTTAGGACGCTTCCAATACGGCGGCTTTGCGTGATTCCTTCGATGGTTGTTTGTTGGCTTTCCTCTGTAAGGAAAGGCTTTCCTTGGGGCGCCTGGGGGGCTCAGTCGGTGAAGCGTCCGCTTCAGCTCAGGTTATGATCCCGGCCCGTGTTGGGCTCCCTGCTGAGTGGGGAGTTTGCTTCTCCCTCTCCCTCCCCTGCTTCCCCTGCTTCTGCTCTCTCTCTCTCTGACAAATAAATAAATAAAATCTTAAAAAATAAATAAATAAAAAAGGAAAAGCTTTCCTCTTTCTCCCCATTTATATATTTTTATTTATTTATGTTTTTTGTTTGTTTATTTATTTATTTATTTATGGATTAATGGATCATTGCTTTGTTCACTGGTTAGACTTATTATCATCATGTATGTTAATGTGCAGAGGAAAGGGCCAGGGGAGCTCCCTCCGGGCCCCTGCGCTCTCTATGGCCCTCATTTCTGAGTTCTGGCGTAATACGATGCTCCCGGCTCATCAGCTCATCGGGCACTCGCCCCGCTCTAGCTCAGAACCAGCCCACTTTTCCAAGGACCCTGGTCTCTTTTGGTGGAGAGCGGTATTTAGCAACCAAGATCTGGGTGCTGGGTGTGAGCATGGCAGCTGGACCATCCCCACTTCCAGCGTCCCAGCAGACAGAGCTGGGCCGAGAGTGTGCGTCCGGGGCCACGGTGCTCCCGTCTGGTGCCAGGCTGCTTCCAAGCCCAGTGGCCACTAGCCCGTGGCAGGAGCGGAACGTCCCAAGTAGGAAAGCTGGCCTCTCCCAGTGCCAAGCCTCCCTGGGAACGGAACCGGCTTATTTCTCTCTTGTACAGCGGTCCCAGCCTGTCTCCCGCCGGACTCCGGGCGACCCTAAGCTGCAGTTACAGCTTTCTCCTATAAATATTTAAATGGCGGTTCAGCTTTCAGACAAAGCACATCCGTGGTAAAGATCAAGCTTTTTGACCTTTTGTCAATTTACTCAGTGAAGTATAATCCTCCTGGTCTGTTTTTTCCAAAATGTTGTTGACTCCCTTTTTCATAGCTGAAATGGCCGCATTTTCTCCAAATGCAGAATAGAGAAGATGCACGAGTTTTTGTGTGTCTCATAAATATATAAATGCAAACAAGAAAATTCCCTTTCCTGCTGCAGAAGCCAAGCTCGGGGACAGTGGGTGTGGCGTTTCAGAATCAGAGGCATCTGGCTAATTTGTTGAAGTGGGGTTGGGCAGTGGGGGGGTACACAAGCCTGTGCGGAGCTGGGTCTCCCCGCGTCCAGGCTGGCCTCACCCCGTTGCAAGCCCATCCCTTGATTCAGCCTCACATGGTAAAGCTCTTTGCTCCTAAATATATCCACGTTTGAAATGTGGTCTGGCTCCTGTCCAGCTATTCATTCTCTGATTTTGAATATTCTCAGCATGGGCGTATTTAAAGCAAGATAAAATATACACTGAAAGGGAAATTTAAAAAGAAACACATTGGTAGCTCCTTCAAAGGAGCATCAGAGATTGGAGATCACAGACTTTGTCGAAGACAGTGAGAGAGGCCCACACCTGCCCAGAGGAGCCATGCCCTCTCCCGTGGGCTCCTTCTTCTCTGTCCCCGGGGGTGGTCACAGGTCGACGTGGGGGATTTTTCTGAGGCCTGGGGCCTGGTTTGGGTGGGGTGCCTGCAGGGCTTGTCACACACCCCGGCCCCAGATGGTCTCTAACAGGGAGAGACTCAGCTCAGGGCCATTCCCAGAGAACACCGTGTGGCCCATGCCTCTTGGCCACCATCACACCAGTGGCCTGTCCTGTGCTTTGCTCGAGCAATGCCTTCGTTAGTCCTGCCTTTCTGAGCGCCCGGGATCCCCTCGGGCAGCCGGCCTGGCGCACCCTTCCCACCCAGGCGGAGTGACATGAAAAAGCACCCATCTTTTTGAACGCACAATGATCCCCTCCAAAAAGCCCGCTGAACCGCCTCCCTCCGGAGGCAGAGACCCTCTTGGGGGAACCCGGAGCTGGAGCCGCAGGCCCGGCCCGGGGGAGGCTCATCTCTGCTCTCAGACACAGCCCAGCTCTGCCCGAGCCTTCCCGACCTGCGCTTAGCATCCTTCCTGTGACATTTACAAAGCGGGTGGTTTTGTTTTTTTTTTTTTCAAACAAGACTGTATAAATTTTTGTTCAAGAAAACACTGCTTGCAATCTCTTTGATATTTTCCTGCAAGGTCAGGAGGCTGATTGATTCATGGCATTTTCCTTTCAGCGCACAGGCCTAAATGATAAATTACAGGAGCAGTTGTTTCTTTGGGAGGGGACTCTCCCTGCCACCCCTCTGCCCCCAGAAAGCCATGACGGGTTAGGAGACCCAGTGCTTCCTCAGCCCCTGGGCTGGAGAAGAAGGTCCTCACGCAACGGGGCAAACTCTGGGCTCTCCTGGGCAAAGGCGGCCACCAGCGCTTGTGTTTGAGAGAGGGATGCTCCCCTTTGGACTTCACACGCCAGGACTGGGGGGCAGGCTGTGGGCACACGGGCCCGTGTGTGCAGGTTCGAGGCCCCCGCCCGGGTGGGTCTCTGTGGGAGGTGAGCCCACAGATAAAGGAGATGAGGCGCTCGGGTGCTCACACTTACCGGAGGGCTGCGTCCAGGAGGCGAGGCCCAGACGCGGCGTTCCAGGCAGCTCTGGGTTGCACACCACTGTAGGAGGCTCCTGCGTGCCCGGGGCTGGGGGCGGGGGGGCTAAGAAGGGAATTGCACTTGTCGGGGCAGCGGGCGCGAGACGGCCCCCCCAGAGCACAGTGCCCGCCGAGCACACCCCAGGACAGCTTGCTGGGAAACGCCCCTCGCTTTGGTGCTGAAGGAGCAGACGCAGTTTTCTGCCTCCCTGCCCCCTGCGCTGGCCCCCAGAGGGTCTCCCCGAGCCGCGATCACACCGTCCAGGGTTTGCCCACACGTGCTGGCGTGTCTTCACGTTTCTTCAGCTACGATTCCACGCTCTGTGCAGCCCCGTCTCCTCACACAGCTTTGGAATGTCTCACTCGACTGTGGGTTTTCCCGAGCCCGTGGGCAGAAGCAGTGGGTGGTGGGCTTGTGCCCCTGCTCCCACGACCCTGTTCCCCTTCTGGGGAGGCGGCTGGGCCTCAGACCCTCCCTGTCCAGGTGGTTGTCTCGGTCATGCTGCTCCGGAAGGGAGGACCATCCACTCTCCTCTGTGTCCCTGGATGGGAGGGACTCCTGCGCTAAACTGGGCGAGCCCAGGACAAGGCAGGAGGGGTGTCCACGACTGGCGGCCCCGTTGGCACCCACACTATCTCCCTGGGGATGGAAGAGCCAGTTGTTCACCCGAGGTGTTTTCTCTGGCAGCATGAAGTACGGGGGGAAGCTGCTTCTGAGCTAGGAGCACATTTCCCAGCAGGCCAGATCCGGGCTGCCTGCGGGAAGAGGGAGGTGATGGGTGCACCTCGGCGCCCAGGAGATGGGGATGCTGAGGCCTGCGGGGTCCTGGGGGATGGGGACCTGCAGGTGCAGGGGCCTGGGCCTCTGGGTTGGGGGGAATCGGCCACCAATGGGGACCACCTGCCTCGATGGATTTTGTAAGAAATGAACGTACATTGCATCAAACCCCACACTCAGTGCCTGACGTGACGCAGAAGCTGGTGGGTTGCTGACTAACACGCTTAGCACGATTCTGTCTTCTCGTACGTCCTTGTCCGTCCGCTCCCACCCCCCAACTCCTCCCCCTTACCGCTGTTGTGTAGGCGGGAAACCAGGAGGCCCGGGAGCGGGGCCTCCGAGCGCACGTCCGTTGAGAGCCACGGGACCCACATGGCTGTGCGTCAGCGTTAAAGCTGATGCGTAGGCTCCTCGCCGTTCCACCGTTTTTGCAGCAAAAATTACCTGCATGTTCTATGTTTTTTTATGATTACAGTAATTTCAGGTTGTTTTTACTTGATTAGTAGAGTAACATATATTCATTGTAGAAATTTTTTTTCAAAGCGTAGAAAATAATTCAGAAGGAATTTGAATCACACGTTAGAGACATCCCGCCGAAATCATGGTGGGTACCATTCGATGTTTACAGCTTGAATCTGATTTTGCTAAGATATTTGGGAAATGCCATCTGAAGGTCGAGTGTGTTTTGAGGGGATACCGGGGCGCGTCTGTTTTCTTGTAAACGATGACTGTTATTTTGCCATTCTAAAAGGTAACGCTGATTCCATCGTATCCCTTATTATCCGTAAGGATCGACTTCTAGAAGTGGATTTCTGCATCGAACACCCGTTGTTGAGGCGCTGGTGACAAATGGGGCCAGGTCGCCCCGCACAGAGCCACGCCACTCTCTCTTCTGTTAGCAGAGGGCACAGAAGGTGCTTTCTCCCTTCTCTCAAGAGCCCCGAGGACCCTTGTTTCGTTTTTTATTTATTATAAAAAAGTCAGCAGAGGAAGATGCGTCGGGATTAAGGAGACACTAACTGGTGCTGGGTGCACCCCGTGATCATCCGTGCTGGGACGTGAGTGCGCCCTTCCGTCCAGAGTACAGGGCACGAAGTGTGTCTGTGAGCTCTGACTCACGCCAGAAGGAGCCTCAAGGACGGGGTGGGAACAAGAGCAGCCTGAATACAAATTAATCACCTCTGCCATATGGACGGGCTTCGGCGTTCACAGATCCCGATGCCCGGACGGAGCATGAAGCGTCGTTCACTGGGGGTTCTGGGCTTTTTGTTTGTTTGTTTTTCTTTAAAAGCTTGGGAGAACAAGCAAAGCTCTTAAGTGATTGAGTCATTAGAAAGGGCTTTAATGAATCCGTTCAGTTAGGCGAGAGAGGACCAAAACGGAAAGGCTTGGTTTTAGGTTTCTATTGGTTGGGAATCTTTCCTTTAAGAGAAAAATGCATTGCAACGTGGGTTAAGCATTAAGAGGGAGTGGATGGGCTCAGATAACTTGCCAGCCCAGCTCAGGAAAGCGTCAGGCATGGTTTGACCCAGAGCCTCAATGTCACGAACCAGGACTTGGTTTCTTTTCAGTCTTACCTGTGCTGCTTTGGAGTTGAAGCTGGCTTCCCTTGTAGTGACCAAGTGGCTTCTGACAGCACCAGGCCACGCACCTGCTCCCTTAATTCCTGTAGGAAAGACTGTGGCTTTCTGCAGTTTTACAGACTGCTCTGGACTGGTGTAGGTCTCAGGCTCACCCCTGTCGTTGCTCTGGTCCAGGGGATGGAGTGTGTTGACTGGTTTCTAAGCCCGTCCAGGCTGTTGTAACGGAATCGCATGGCCCGAGACTTACGGGACAACAGACGTTCGTGGAGCACGGGCCGAGGTCTGGAAGCCGAGGGGGCGCGCGGGTGTGGGCAGGTTCTGGTGAGACCCTTTCCTGGGTTGCATCCGGCTGATCTCCCGCTGGGTCTTCATGTGGTGGGAGGACCAGGGAGCTGTCTGGGGTGTCTTTTTTTGGGGGGGCGTCTTTTATAAAAGCACAAATCCCATTCATGGAGGCCCCACCCTCGTGTCCATCACCTCCCAAAGGCCTCAGCTCCTGACACCACCACGTTGGGGGTTAGGACTTCAACACACGGATTTTGGAGGGATGCAACATTGGATCCACAGCGCCTCACTGAGCGGTGCTGGAGGGGAGGGAGCAGTGAGCTCGGCAGCACGGAGCCAGTGACTTGGATGTGCATGCTGTAGGATCGCTAATTCTTACGTATTTTCTTGTCCACGTAACAGAAGTGGGGTTGGGAGGGTGGTGTGCTTGCTGGTGAACTAGCTAGCATGCAGTCTTTGCCTAATTCCATGGGGTAAATACTCCCATCAGGGCAGATTTGAGGCCCCCTCGGGTCCAGCGACGGGCTCTCCCACTCCTGCGTGTTTCATGACCGAGGTTGTGCAGGCCAGCTCCGGCACACTCCGGGGAGCATCTTCGTGGCATTGACTGGTGGTAGCTCGCTAACCTGCAATCCCATTGAGCTCCAGCTCCCAGCCGTCAGTCTGGACATGAAGGGAGCATCCCCCAGCCGCAGTGGGAGCTTTTCTTGCAAGAGGGTTATTTCATGATGAGCGGAAGCAGGGCAGGGATCGAGGTCGCACACACTCCACTGTCTGGGGCTGTCCATGTGCCGTCCGCGCAGGCCCTGGAGTCCCTTCTGTGAGTCCTGTGTGCCACATGCCATGGCTGGGTGTGGATGAAGGTGTGGCGCCTTGCACGGATTGATCTGTGCTTGGTGTTCGGGCTCCTGGGAATAGTGATACTCTTCATCTTCCCACCCCAGGTAACTGAGATTCTTTTTACAGGCTCATCTTCCTGGATGGGTTAATGAATAAGGCCCTGGTGGAGTCTGGGTCACCATGCCATTGTGTTTTAAATGCAGCCTGCATCTCAGGGCTGGGTTTTGCTGCTCTCTTAGCCAAGCTTACACGTCTGCCCAGATGGATTAAAGGCTGACAGCTGGGAAAGCTGATTTATCTCTGCTGCACTGGGGGGACGGGGCATCTTCTTACCACCTTCTTGGGCTCTCCAAGGATTTGCTTGAGCAAATCAGTGACCTCTCTACCTCTCCACTTCCTTCCCTTTGTCTCAAAGGAGACGGCAGCAGTCTAGCTTCTCTGGCAGTGAGAGGCGGACTCTAGCGAGAGATCCTGCCTCAGGACCTTTGCATGTGCTGTGCCCTCTGCTGAGACTCTCTCTCGCTCTCTTGCTCTCTCTTTCTCCCTGTCTCGTCACGCCAACCATTCCCCCTGCTTGTGTGCTTTCTCTCTCTGTCAAATAAATAATGAAATCTTTAAAACAAAGAAACAAACAAACAAAAGAACACTGAACAAGGGCTCTACTGTCTTAAGAAAATTTCAAGGGGCGCCTGGGTGGCTCAGTTGGTTGGGCGACTGCCTTTCGGCTCAGGTCATGGTCCTGGAGTCCCGGGATCGAGTCCCACGTCGGGCTCCCTGCTCAGCGGGGAGTCTGCTTCTTCCTCTGACCCTCCCCCCCTCTCATGTGCTCTCTCTCTCTCTCTCAAATGAGTAAATAAAATCTTAAAAAAAAAAAAAAAGAAAAAGAAAAAAGAAAATTTCAAACTCATGGTACAGTCCTGCTCACCAGGGGCACGGTGTGGTGAAGCAGACCCCCAACTCACTCATCCTGCACGGCTGACATGGAACAGAGTCCAGAATAAAGCCACGTACATACGGCCGGCTGGTCTTCGACCAGGAGGCCGGGGCCACGTGATGGGGGAAGGGCAGCCCTGCCACAGATGTGGGGAAAACTGCATCCCACGTGCACAAGAATGCAGCTGGATCCTAAACTTACAGCAGGCACCAAGACCAACTTGCAATGGATGGAAGACTTCAACGTAAGGCCGGGAGCTGGAGAAGACAGGGACAGTGACGGCCCTGTCTCGGGGCCCCAAGCCCTTGTACCAAAGCCAGGATGGTCCAGGCCCCGAGGCCGGGGCTGTGGAGTGGGGTGGTTAGACACGGCGTTAACTCTGGGCCCTGCTCTGTTCAAGAGCCTCATGGTGAGGGCAGGAACAAAGGAGGGAGCGGGGGCCGGCCAAGGCACGGCCTGAGGGCAGTGCCCCCGCGTAATGCTGGCTGCCTGCATAGTGGTCAGCCGTGGCCGGAGGGCCCGAGGCTGGGGCAGCCCCACTGAGCAACCCTCGCCGTGTGGACCCTGGAGTCATCACGGGGAGTGCGTGTGCTCACACGTGACTCGTTTTCCAGTGCTGCCCCAGTGGGGTCACCTGCTTTGTTCCCCATGGCTCCAGGACCAACAGAGCCCCAGTGTGCTTTTCTGCTTTCTGCTCCAGTTAATTCCCAGGCCCTAATGAGCCCCTCCCAGCCCACGAGGCTGATTAAGGGGAAGGGCCAGCTGCGACAATTATGACGTGGGAGGAAGGGGCGCAGCTGGAGCCGGAGTACAAACACAAGGTGGCTGGAGGTCAGGCTTCACGTTGAGCAAGTCATCCGTCAGGAGGGAGCCTTCTCCAGCCCTGGGAGGCCTGTCTCCGAGGCGCCAGTCGGATGGCGTGATCTGGCTAATTATTTAGCTTTCTCTCTTGGAGACGGCAAACAACAGAATGGGAATGAGGACTGTCGGACGCTTCCGTGATCTTGTAATGATGATGTGGCATCTTTAAGTGGCTCAGAACAAACCATTAGGGACACACTGTAGTCGGATAAAACAGTGGGTCTTTCCCCATTTGCAGAAACGGGTCTGAGACCCGGAGAAGGCTGCCATGGTGACTTTATTTGGCCTCACGCAGGCGTCTCCCCATCTCTGCTTCATGTCATTCCTGGCCGTTGGCTAGTATTGAAGTTTTCAAGGTAATGTTTCCAAAGGCCCATGTTGGGTATTTCTCGCATATCAGAAAAAAAAATTTTTTTTTTTTCCTTTGGAAACATTGGCAGTGGGGAGTAATACCCTTTTCCTCGGTCTCTGCTGATCCTCTGGCGTCCGGGGCGCTCATTACCGGGTGGTGGTGAGGCCCAAGCCCAGACCCTTCGCCTCCCAGGTGAGTGACTCCTCCATGCTCCGTGTCCTCCCGTGTCCTGTGGGCAGGCACCTGCTGCATGAGCTCCTGGGGACTCAAGCAGACGCTCTATGTAACATGCTGGGAACAGGTCTTGGTCCAAAATGGGTGCCCGAATGTGAGCTGCTGGTTTTAACACTAATAATGAACAGCTAACATTAAAAGAGAAAATCGATTTACTGAAATTATTTTATGTTAGAAAGTAACACTGTACTTTAACTTGAGTTTGGAAATGAAGACCACATTAGGCTGAGGGAAGGCTTCATCCTGATGGAGGCTTCCACGTGTGGCTGTCCAAGGGCCTCCAGTGAGAGCAAAATCAATTTTCACAGGAGATGATTATGCCGATGAAATTGCTTGTGAGCGGTAAACGTGTTTAATTAAATGCAAGGCATTGCCCCTGGGCCCCGAGCACAGGTACACAGTGTCCTGGGGGTGGCCCTGCTCCCTTGCTCTCAGTGCCTTTTCCTCTGGGCGCCTTTTCCTCTGAGGTTTTCCCGACAATTGGTTCCTTCCGCCTCGTCCCACGTGGCCGAGTTGGTTAGGATCAGTGAGAAACCAGGAGAAACCCCCAGGACGGTGGACAGCCCGCGGGCGCCTTGTGCCATCCGGACAAACGGCAGGTGGCTCAAGGTTCATCATTCGGACCAACAAGGACAGAGGCCACAGCAGCGGGGCATGCATACCTGGGGCAGAGACGCCGGACGCGGAGGCCCCCTTGCACCCGGCTAATTTATGGAGCCATCCAAGTGTCTTTGGCTCTCTAGAATTATTTTATTGACTTGCGTTCTCTGGAGAATGTAGCAGCCCGACTACTTTTCCTGGGGGAGGTTTTTTTTATCTACGCTTTCAATTTTCACTTGATAATGTTCTGACTGTCATTCAGGGCCAAGCGGAAACACAAGAAAATGAAATCTTTTATTGCACCACTAGTTACAAAGTCCTGTCTGAGAGCCAGGCACCACTCCAAGGGCCACGGGTATAGTGGTGGGCACAGTTGCCCCAAACCCTTGCCCCCAGACAGCAGGCATCCCACCTGGCATGTCCGGATGACCAATGCAGTAAAGAGGAAGAAATCCACGGACCCTGGCTGGCGTAGATGCTTGTTGTCTACACAAGAACAGCAGTTAAGGCGGTGGGGTGCTTTTTGGGTCAGTTTTGAAAAAAAATTAATAAATGTTTTCAAAAAAATGAGTTTTCAGTTTACGGAAAGGTTGATCAGAAAGTGAGGTCCCCATGGACCCCTGTCCCTCCAGCCCAGAATCTTCCCACAGCTCACATCGGATGTGGGCGGGGTACACTTGCTACAATTGATGAGCCAATATTGATACATTGTTACTAACCAACGTAGCTTCACTGGCCCCAAATCCTCAGTATTCAACCCTCGCTCCTCCCACCCCTGGCAAATAATTATGCTTTACTGTCTTTACTGTCTCCATAGTTGTGCCTTTTCCAGAATGTCCTAGAGTTGGAATCATATTTAGTATTTAGCCTCTTCAGATTGGCTTCTTTCACTTAGTGATGTGTATTTAGGGTTTCAGGGCTCGACAGCTCCTCTCATCTTGGTGCTGAGTAACATTCCACTGTCTGCCGGGCCACAGGTTGTTCATCTGTCCACCTGCTGGAAGACACCTTGGTTGCTTGTGAAGGTTCTTTCCAGCAGATCCCAACCAGGAGGATATTCCAAAATGGGCAGCTTTAATATGTATTGATCCAGGGAGACCCTGGAGAAATCAGGAGGGTGAGACATTGAAATGTCTGTGCTTTTGGACATGAAGTGAATAACTCACAAGTTATTCCAAGTTATTCACCAAATGCCATCTTGTAGTGAATAGATATTGGTTATGTCATTATACTAAGGAAAGCGGGGGTGGAGGGTAAATCTCAGGGGTTGTTATAACCTGTGGTCATTTTACTCACTGCAAAACCCAACTTCCTCAACCCATCTATCCAGTGCTAACACATTCACCAAGTTCACCAAATAATCAAAACACCTTAAGAAAATATTAATGGGCAAAGTCAGAAAAGCTCATGTGATACAGGGCACTGGTAACGTGCACTTTCTTCCTCTCCATTCTCATGAACTGTGTGTGGACAGATCCACGTCTAGGTGAGAAGTTTGCTGGATTAACAGTGACTAGGAGAACAGACACAGATCACTGCAGAATATTTACTCCAAGCTGCCAAAGCCCCAGCTCATTCTGTTATTTCTTAGGATTGGTTCTGATCAAGTGTTAGAAATAATTTCTCCCAGCAAATAGTGCCAAGAATACTTTGACAAATCCTCCACCTTCATTAATTTCAGGATTCCATATACGTGCCCCGAAACTTCTGTTGTTGTTATGTTACTCGTATTACATGATCCCAGAGTCAGGTTTATATTATACTACCTTCACGTTAGTGGGACTGCTTCTTGAATTCACTAATTTTACAATTAATCACACCAAAATATTGTGGTTTCTTCAGCGTAATGTACTATTTTATCCATTCATCCTTTGATTCAACAAATGTTTATGGAGCATTTTACTCTGTGTCTGGGGGTGCGGTGGGCCGTGAAATGAGATCATGGGAGCCCTGCTCTCAGAGAACTCACTTTCTAACGGGGCACTGACGGTAAGCATTGCAAAGTGGGGAGGGTGGGGGCGGACGCCGTGTGCGTTATCGGGACCGTTGGGCACAGCCTCCTCCTCGGGGTGGGTCTGCGTCAGACCTGATGACCGGAAGGGGGAGCAGGGTGGGCAAAATGCAAAGACTCGTTCAGCAGAACGTGTCCGTGCAGAACTCCAGGGGCCATGTAGTGTGGACGTCTTATTTCACCACTACAAACACTGTCCTATTTTCTATTTCTGGCTCCACCAGTCTGGGTCCCAGAGTGAGGACAGTGTGAGCAGAGCACCAGCTGGTGCCCCACGGACACGGAGTATGCGCGGGAAATAAACCTCCATCGTTTCAGGCCACGGGTATTTGAGGGTTGTTTGTTACTACAGAGTAGCCTCGCCCATCCTGACTGGTGCATGTTCCAAGGCCCATTGGCAGTGAAGGCTTCATTCATTTGCTATTTCTGCACACGTCTGAGTAGCTGCTTTGGTTTGACACCATGCAGGGGGCTTAGAATTCAACACAGAAAGTAAGGGGCGTGGTCCCCGCCCTCTCGGAGCTGGCGGTCTGCTGGGGGGACCGTGGTAAGTCAAGGCGCTGGCCTGCCTGAACCGTGGTTCTGGAGCAGCCGTGCGGGCGGGGAGGGAAAGTGGACTGTTGGCCGACTGAGGGGTGGGGTTTCTCTGGGCTGCTAAGGCCTGAGAACGAGGATGGAGTCCAAGCCGCGTGGGTGAGGGAGTGGAGAGAGGAAGGGGCTTGTCGCAGGGGCCTGGGGATGGGGAGGAGAAGGTGTGGATGCTTAGTAGAGAGACTTCCTGTGGCTGAAACAAGGATGTCAGATGAAGTGCAAGTCTTACAATCTTGAGAAACTGTTGCAGGAGGGCAGGAGCTCTAGCAGCAAGGAGAACTAGGGGAGGTGCTCTGGGAGCCTGGGTGGCTGGGCCCCCTCCCGACTTGGCTCTTCTTAGCTGTATGTGTGGGGCCGTTCTTTGGACTCCATGAGTTCTTTTTTTTTTTTTAAGATTTTATTTATTTATTTGAGAGAGAGAGAATGAGAGAGAGCGAGTACATGAGAGGGGGGAGGGTCAGAGGGAGAAGCAGACTCCCTGCCGAGCAGGGAGCCCGATGCGGGACTCGATCCAGGGACTCCAGGATCATGACCTGAGCCGAAGGCAGTTGCTTAACCAACTGAGCCACCCAGGCGCCCCTGGACTCCATGAGTTCTTAATGCCAGGGTTTCTAAGGACCTCGCTGTTGTTGTGATAATGCATATATAAGGCCCCAAACCACAGTCAACCCTGGGGACGGCTGGACGCTTTCCTCCGGCTTCATTGTCCCTTCATTTTTCTTGCTGATTCCTGAGCATTTCTACCTTCTGTCTCTCCAAATGTACATACTTCTGTCAAGGGAGTGGGGAGCCTATTCTGCAATCCCTGCTTTTTCTCCCAAGCATCCGACCCCACTGGTAACTCCCTCTCCATCATGCATCTCACGGGGACTGTTTGGTGGGGGGAGACTCAGATGTCGAGGCAAAGAAGGCTGTGTCCTGTAACACTACCCATTGTCAAAACACAACTTTTACCAGTGGCTCTGAAAGCTGTGTTCTTTTCATCTGCGTGACTCATTATGACAGATATGCCCTGTGCTGAACAGTTCCCATTTGGAGATTGAATTACCATCCTATTCAGCTGACACAAAGCAGTTCCTGGCCGGCTCGGGCAGCCCATGAATAAGTAAATAGTCTTCCAGCTTGATGCCGAGCACAAGGCTGGGAGGCAGCAGAGAGCCTGGCATGCAGGGGAGAGGAAGCTGGTGCCGTCCAAGGCCCCAGCTCCTGCATCTGTCCCACTAGTGCGTCGACCCCCGGCATCATGTGAGTACCCCCGCTGGGTGTGGGGAAGAGTCTGATGGGTTCACGAGATACGGCTTAGACACTGAAGCAGAAAGCCAGCCTCCTGGAGGCACCAGGCTGGAGATGAAGTGCCCTCATGGATTGAGAGATGGAGGGGGGCAGGGTGTTTGGCAACCTTTTAGTTGGCCATAAGTCCTGGTCCTAAAGCTGCTGGGTCCTAACTGTGACTTAGATGACTGTGGCATTTCGTTCGGAACCTGTCCCCAGGCCCCAGTTTCAGGTTAGGAAGGATCCTCTGGCCCAGGGGTCAGTTCACTGGGTGAACTGAGCAGGATGCTCCCAACACGATGCCTCTCAGCACGGAAGGCAGAGGAGTCTCACCCGCTGCGGGGCTGGGCGTCCCACGGTGCGTCCACGCAACCTCACTCCCGTGGGAAGTCTGTTCCCCTTGAAACTGAGTCCGCTTCCGCTTGGTTAACCATCCCATAACTGGCGTCAAAAGCAGTACATTTTCAAAGTTATGATGTCTCCAGTGGAAATTTTCACTCTTGATTTGTATTTGATTTTTGGGAAGCGTTTTCCAGTTCTCTCAGCCCGGCTAATGAGACCAGGTTTAGCATTGTGAAGCCTTCAGATAATGAATGTAATTAGATAATAAACATAATTGTGGCATTTTCAGTCTGTAGACGTCAAATATTCGTTGAAATAATAAATGTGAAAATGTCACAAGCTCATGCTGGTTGTAAGACCAGTGGATTCCTTTTCATCCTTTCTATGTAGGGAGAACCTTGTAGTGAATAGTTGGTTGAAGTGTTTATTCCTAACATTAAATAGCAAGAACTGGGTCTTCCCTCATGGCGGAAGGATTTATTCTGGATCCATGATGAACATGTTTATGGGGTAGAGCTGGTGGGCAGTGTTTTATGTTGTTTGGCATTTGAGGAGGCAGCAGTAAAATGTGCATCCATAAATCATTGCTTTTCTTTCTCTATCTGCCCAAACAGCACTGTTAATTAAAACTTTGTATGAAGTGGTAGTCGAGCTCCCCATTCAATTTCACTTCAGAGTCGTTAGAGTTGGTTATACACAATCCCTCAAAGGCATTATCTTGCTGGACCACTTTTGAATTAATAATAATCATACTTCACATGTAACCAGATAGGGCAGTTCTTCATGCTGTGTAACCAGTAACACATTCTCCAGTCAGCCTGCTGAGATGGAGACACAGTGGAACCACTTAGCCCCTTTGAGGAGGGGGCAGGAGAAGGGCCAGAGAGCAAAGGGTGGAGGGTGGTTGAAGAAGTGGAGTCCCAGAGCCCAGGAAGACAAACGGAGAAAAAGAGGTGCATTTACTTATTCTCTTCTGAGAGAACCAAAATTTGCTAAATGCAGAGAGGCTAGGGATTATTGTCCTACCTGAAATTTTTTTCTTTTTTTATAGACTTAGGAAATATTTTCGTAACTCGCAAGTTATCACACTGTTCCATATCCTTATTTTTTTTTTTTTTCTTATGTCATCCTCAACTATTTCTCTGAGAGAACACAATTCCTTAGAGGGACAAGACAGGGTGTAGGTTGGTGGCTGTAAGGCCTCTGGTGATTTGTATCAAAAGGAGGTAGTTCTTCTGCTGGGCAGGGCTCTCATTGGACATCTCTGTGCTTGGACTCACTTTCCATTTGGCCCACTTGATTGGGTGGCGAGACCTCCCCATGCCTTTCATCGCTTATTGCAGTCATTCCCACAATGTAGTAGGTGGACCAAAAATGTCGCACCAGATGATTTTGGGAAGCATACAGATATTTTATGAAAAGACGTTACTCGATAACTATTTGTTTCATGCAACTTTGAGAAAAGACGTAAGCATATCAAGTGAGTTAATATAATAGTGTAAGATTTCCTTTGAAACAGGATTCATACATGAAGACTTGAGTGAGTTCCCAGAGTAGACATGAGTATGCCTTTTTTTTTTTTTGAGCTCCAACTGCATGTTAAAATTTAGAGTGAATGCACACAATTTAAAAAGTTAATAATGGCTACAGTTATATAACACCAGCCATTTCCTACCTTGTCAACTTTTCACTGCCCAGTTCCTTCACTCTACTTTTAATACTTCTATTAATTTCTTCTTTGAATTACCTCAACAATCCTAAATAATATGCCTACACTGTTGTTTTTGACTTGTCAATTTTTGTAAGTCAGAAATAGCACTTTCTGTTATGGTAGATAAGTGGCTCTCAAGCAGGGGTAATTATGCGCCCAGGGGTCATGTCTGAGATATTTTTGTTTGTCACAACTTGGGGGTGGGGATTGTGCTACTGGCTTTTGGTTGTTACTATCAAGGATGCTGCTAAACATCCTATAAAGCACAGGACAGCTCCCACACTAAAGAATTATCTAGCCTTGGGGCGCCTGGGTGGCTCCGTCGTTGGGCGTCCACCTTCGGCTCAGGTCGTGATCCCGGGGTGCTGGGATTGAGCCCCGCATTGGGCTCCCTGCTCGGCGGGAAGCCTGCTTTTCCCTCTGCCGCTCCCCTGCCTGTGTTCCCTCTCTCGCTGTCTCTCTGTCAAATAAATAAAATCTTAAAAAAAAAAAAAAGAAATATCTAGCCCCAAATATCTATAGAGCTGAGGTTCCGAAGTCTGTGGTAGATGAAGATTTGGTTCTTTTAGACCCCACCTCCAACCTACACATACAGTTAAATGGCTACTTTAGTTAAGACAGTAATGAGTGTTTACATTGTTATTATGTATATATTGTTAACTAGAACCAATTCGTGACCGTGATTACATTTCTTTCCGTGCATGGCTTTTTACTTTTCCTTGAGTTATTAATTGCCTCATTTTTAATTGTGCCATTTACAATCCACATACTGAAAATTCTTTCCCAGTTCTTTGACATATCAAAAACTTTTCTCAAGTCTCCTTTTCACATGATACTTTACTTGTAAAACCCTCTGTCTTCTTGCTCCAAACTGATTACTCAAGAGCTGAGACTCAGCTGTCACCCTGGAGTTTCTCTTTGTCACTGTGTAGTAGGATCTACTGTTCCTTAGATTCTATGGCTTTTCTTTTAGGTTTTCCCCACTTATTTTACTGCAGCATATCCTACAGTAATTTCCTAAGAAAGAATACATTGGAAGCAAATTTTATGATCCTTTACACGTATGGAAATCTCTCTCCTTTGTCCTCACACTTGATCAACTGCTTTTTGGGTATAGAATCTTAAATTGGAAATAATATTCAATCAGATTTTTAAAGGCATTCTGCTGGCTTCCAAGATTGCTGCTGAGAAATTTGATGCCCTAACCTACTCTTGTTCCTTTTAAAAATTCCACTTTTTTTTTTTAAACTAGAAGTGTTTAAGATCTTCTCTTTATCATTTATCTCCTCAAATCTCATGATGCTCTTTGGTGTGGTTTCTTTTCATCCATTTTGTAGCCCACTCATGAAATCCTTTAACAGAGAAATTTTTCTTATATATTTCCTACAATTTCTGTACATTTTCTCTTTCTGGAAATCTTATTAGTAAAAGTTGGACCTCCTGGATTGATCTTTAAAATCTTTCTTTCTTTTCTATTTTCTATCACGTTAGGAGATTTCCTTAACCTTATCTTCCACATCTGCCATTTAAATCAAATTCCATTTTGGTAACTATCTTTTTCATCTACAAGAATCCTTTTTGTCTTTCATTGCTCCTTTTGTAGCATCTTGTTCTCTTTCTGTTTATAAGGTTTTGTTAGGTTGCCTGTACCATCTCCTTCTTCCGGGTTTTATTTTTCTGTACTTAGATTATAATCTTCCATGTTGGAGGGCTTTTTTAATGTAGCGAGTAATCTTTGGTTGGTATTTGGCTTTGAAGGGAGGTCTAGATGGCTTGTGGATGCCAGTGGAGTTTGTTCATGGTGGGTTCACTCCAGGGTAGTTGCAGGGAACTGAACATTTTGGGGTTTAAGTTCCTAATGTCATTATATGAAGGTCTTTGCTTGTGATTATTATTTTCTACCAAATTAAATTTCCAGTCTCCTGCCTCATTTGAGAGTCATGGGGGGAAACGCACAACTACCTACATTACGCATGTGGTCTGGGGAGGGGTCTACACAGGCAGGTGCTCATTATGGTGTCTCACTGCTCTGAGCTCTACCTGCTGCTCTGTGTCCTGACTCTGTCATTAACTGCCTCAGGAAATAAGACTCCAATCTCCTGTCTGGACATCTTCCCCTCATATCTTGTCTGCACATCATTCTAAATCTTATTAAAGTCTAGCTTGAATAAAGTTATACTTGCATGTTCTGGTCTCCCCTGTCAGACTGTGGGTCCTGGAAAGACTCACTCTTATTTATGTTTGGGTCTAACAACTGCCAGGAACTTGGTAGGTACTCAGAAAGTGCTTGCTATATTGCAATAAATTGAATTTTGCTCATACAGACTGTTTTCCAGTTCCAAATTTCAGGTTGAAGCCCAAATTGCTTCAAAGTGTTCCTCCCCCACCCGCATAGTTACTCTGGACACTGGACACTTACAAATTTTTGGATAAAACCGAAGAAAATTCAACTTATCTTATTCTGTGATTCTACAAAGTTTAAAAACATCTTATTAACAAAGATATTCTGATATTTTGATTGTTTATGTCAATTGAAGATCTACTGAAACATAGAAATTTCTAGTTCTTAAATATTTGGTGGTAAGATGGGAATTCCCTGAGAGTTTGCTACAAGCAGCTTGTTGGTTTTTATCTTGCTTTTTATTCATTAATTTGACTTATGGTAACACTTCTTGTAATCCATGGAGCATCAGTCATATTTATCTAATTAAGGATATGTTTAGAGCATGCCTGGATGATTTGTGGTCTCCTTTGTTTCCCTTGTTGCCATCAGCAATGGCATGTCACACTTACACAAGGAGGGATAATTAGCCTTACCCACAATTTCTCTTGGCACATTTGGGAGCTTGGAATTTTACTCAAAGCATCATGAAAGCTTTGTGGTGTGTATATATTTTTGCCTTGTTCTACACCAGGAAATTTGGTTGAAGGGAAAGAAAAGTGTCAGGCTGGGAAGGCCATGTATTAAGTCTCAGCTCTGTCATTTACTTAGCCCTCTCAGTGCTATGAACTGGAACGTGATAGTGTGTTCCCTGACTTTCTCTGAATCTGAGGCATAGAGGAAGCTGAAAGAGGCAGAAAAGCCAACTTATAAGCCATTATTTTATGACAGAAGATCATACACTTTTTTTTTTTTTTTTTTTTTACAGTTTAGAAATGACTCATCATACCTGAAGCCTGTGGGTTCAGAAGACGCATTTGATCAGACCCAACCTTTGGAAGACCCACTCGGCAATTTCCCACTTTGTGTCCTGAGACTAGGAACCCAGCGGTAGAACTCTTTGGTGAGTTGTCCTTTCTTCATTCTGATGTTCTATCCTCCTGTGCCGGTTGGGGTTTGTATCCATCCCTTCTTTGTTTAATGGTTTCTTCTAAGACATGTTTATCAATGCCAGCTATGTGTCGGTTAGCTGGGGAGGGCTGAATGGTGAATAAAACAACTGTGTGTACTCTTGTGGAGACAGCCGTGTCCTGAGGGAATGGCAGTGCAAAGGTCCAGGGGCAAGAAAGAGCTGAATACATGAGAAGGGGTTGTCCGGATGCAGATGGGGGAGAGGTCATTCACAACCTTATAGGTTATGGATAAGGATTTTAAATCTTATGAGCAGTGCAGATTTTAGGTAAGAGAGTGACATGATCAAATTTGCCTTCTAAATTGATTGCACCAAGTTCTGTGTGGGGATGTGGGCAGTATGGTAGCGAGGAGCACTCGGAGGCCCCCGTGTAGCCTAGATGAGTGGTAGTGGTGCCTTGGACCACGGTGTTAGTGGTGGAGGTGAGGGACAATGGAAAGCTTCTAGATGCATTGGGGCAGGAGGATCTGCCAGTCGTTGTGATGGGCTGGACAGGAAGAGGGGTCAGAAGGGATGACAAGCATGGCTTTCAGATCATGGGCAGAGACAACATAGTGAAGGGGGAAGCGGCATTTCCTCAGATGAGAAAGATTGGAAAAGAATCAGGTTTATGGGTAAGATTCAGATTCAGTTTTGCACTGAAGCTCAGTTTTGAGGTTGAGTTACACCTAAACACAGGGTAAAATTAGCAGATGACCAAGGCCAGTGTTCAGGAGAGAAATCTGGGCCGGCTTGCTCATTCTTTTATTCACTATTTGGTTTGAGGGTTCTTGGGTGGAGGCATGCTCTAAACACAGAGCAGTGATCACATCATGTGATCATGAGATGACTTTAGGGGTAGGAATAGTAGCTGCTTCTTTCTGCAAAAACCTTTCATGTGGTAAGTGGCTGCCCAGGCAGTGGTTGCCATGGTTGTTAGTCAAGCATTTTGAGCATGAAGCAGAAGGTGAACAAGCTGAACCTTTAGTGCCTCTGCCTAGACTTGCTTTTGGGGTTGGTCCTGAAAAAATAATGGGTCCGAGTCTCATTTTCCAGTCAACAGGATGGTAGGGGTGGTGGTGATGGTGGACATGGTGAAGATAGGGGTGATGATGGTGATGATGGTGGTGATGGAGATGATGATGATGGTGATGATGATGATGGTGATGATGGTGATGATGGTGGTGATGATGATGGTGGT